TTATTTGTGAGCATACTGTACAGAGGGGTTACAATTACATGGGCAGGATAATGCGTACATTTCTTACCAAGCATTGCAGCCTCCTCCTTTGGTTTACCCTTCACATCCCTTCCCAGCCTCCCCCCTGCCCCCAATTTCCCAACTATTTTTAAACTGACTCTCAAGAGTTCTTTGCTTTTTTTTTTTTGTCGGTCGTGGGGCTTGGACGCTGTCCCTGCGGTCTTCAGCTCAAGGCGAGCACTCTACCACTTGAGCTACAGCGCTACTTTCTAGTGGTTTATTGGAAATAGAGTTTCACAATCTTTCCTGCCTGGGCTGGCTTTGAACTGCGATCCTCAGATCTCAGCCTCCTAAGTAGCTAGGATTATAGGCGTGAGCCACTGGCCTCTTTGCTGTTTTTGATCGGTCCTGGGGCTTGAACTCTGGGCCTAGGTGCTGTCCCTCAGCTCTTCAGCTCAAGGCGAGCACTCTACCACTTTGAGCTACAGCTCCACTTCCAGTTTTCTGATGGTTAATTGGAGATAAGAGTCTTACAGACTTTCCTGTCTTGGCAATTTTCCTGACCTGGCTGGATTTGAACTGTCATCCTCAGATGTCAGCCTCCTGAATAGCTAGTATTACAGGCATGTGCCACCAGCACCTGGCTGATCTGTTCAGATTTATAATTGGTTGTTTCATTCCCCTTCCCCTTCTCTCTTTTAAATCTTGCAGCTCTTGGATCTTCCAGGGATTATTGAAGGCGCCAAGGATGGGAAAGGTAGAGGCCGTCAAGTCATTGCAGGTGAGTGGTCAGGGCCATTATTCTGGGATGTCATCTGGTAACTTTCTCCAAGGACTATTGTGCTTAGCTATTATTATTATTATTACTATTATTATTATTGGTTGGTTGTGAGGCTTGAACTCTGGGCCTGGGCAATATCCCTAAGCTCTTCAGCTCAAGGGGAGCACCCTACCTCTTGAGCCACAGCGCCACTTCCAGCTTTTTCTGCTTATTTGGTGCTGAGGAATCAAACCCAGGGCCTCATGCATTCAAGGCAAGCACTCTACCACTGAACCACCTTCCCAGCCCCTAGCCAGCATTTCTGAATAAATGATTTTCCTCAAAAATCATGAGTAAGGCCTTGGGTTCAAGCCTTGGTATTTAGTTTAAAAAAAAAAGTGGGCTAGATTCTAAATTGGACATATGCCAGGCACTGGTGGCTCATGCCTGCTAGCTACTTAGGAGGCTGAGATTGGAGGATTCCAGTCTAAAAGCCAGCCTGGGCAGAAAAGTCCCTGTGAGACTCAAAAACTGGATGTGGAGCTATGGCTCAAAATGGTAGAGCATTAGCCTTGAGCAAAAGAGTTCAGGGCAGCACCCAGGCTCCAAGTTCAAGCCCCACAACCAAAGATAAATATATAAATAACTTGGACACAGATTTTTCCTGAAGGGTTGCTGATGTAACTTTTTTTTTTCTTGTAAACATGAAAGCTAGTAATATGACAGAATATACAATAGACATTTTTAGCTCTGCTTTAGCCTGTTTAGTTTGCTTATAAACTTTAAAATTCTAATTTATGCTGGGCACCAGTGCGGTGGCTCATGCCTGCAATCCTAGCTATTCAGGAGGCTGAGATCTGATCACGATTCAAAGCCAGTCCAGGCAGGAAAAGCTGAGAAACTCTTTATCTCCAATAAACCACTCAGAAAACTGGAAGTGGCGTTGTGGCTCAAGTGGTAGAGTGCTGTCCTTGAGCTGAAGAGCTGAAGGACAGTGCTTAGGCCCAGAGTTAAAGCCCCATGACCCGACCAAAAAAAAAACAAACTAATTTATGCTTATTTTTACAAAATAGGGATATCTTTAAAAAATATTAGAGATGTTTTTAGAGACTGGGAATGTGGCTCAGTAATAGATTGCTTGCCTTGCATGCATGAGGCCCTGGGTTTGATTCCTCAGTTCCACATAAGCAGAAAAAGCTGGAAGTGGCACTGTTGCTCAAGAGGTAGAGTGCTTGCCTGGAGCTGAAGAGCTGAGGGACAGCACCCAGACCCAGAATTCAGGCCCCACAATGGAGAAAATAATAAAAATAAAATAAAATCTTGGGGTGGGAAGGTGGCTCAGTAGTAGAGTGCTTCCGTTGCATGCATGAGGTCCTGGGTTCGATTCCTCAACATCACATAAGCAGAAAAAGCTAGAAGTAGCGCTGAAGGACAGCCTACAGGCCCAGAATTCAGGCCCCACGACTGGCAAAAAAAGAAAAAAGAACCTGGGTCCTGGTGGCTCACATTTGTAATCCTAGCTTTTTAGGAGGCTGAGATCTGAGGATCATGGTTCAAAGCCAGCCTGGGCAGAAAAGTCTGTGATAAGCTTAACCTCCAACTAACCACCAGAAAACTGGAAGTGGTATTGTAACTCAAAAGTGGTAGAGTGCTAGCTTTGAGTGAAAAAGCTGAGGGACAGTGCCCAAGCCCTGAGTTCAAGTCCCATGACTGACAAAAAAAATAGAATTTTCCTAGGTATTCATATTATTATTTTTCTCCTGGCCCTGGGGCTTGCTCAGGTTCTGTCCCTGAGCTTTTTTGCTCAAGCCTAACTTTCTACTACTTGAGCCACAGCTCTCCTTCTGGCTTTTTGTTGATTAATTGGAGATAAGTGTCTCCTGCACTTGCCTGCTTGGGCTCGTTTCAAACTGTGGTTCTCATATCTCAGCCTTGTGAGTAGGTAAAATTATAGGCGTGAGCCACTAATGCCCAAGCCAAATTCCTTATATTTGAATTTCTTTTTTTTTCTTTTTTAATACTGGGGATGAAACCCAGGATATTGCACTTGCTGGGGAAGAGCTTTGCTCCTGATCTACATCCTGACCTATCCTCTTTTTTTTTTTTTTTTGTCTGTCGTGGGGCCTGAACTCTGGGCCTGGGTGCTGTCCCTCAGCTCTTCAGCTCAAGGTGAGCACCACTTCCGGTTTTTGAGTGGTTTATTGGAGATAAGAGTCTCATAGACTTTCCTTGCCCAGGCTGGCTTTGAACTGTGATCCTCAGATCTCAGCCTCCTGAGTAACTAGGATTACAGGCATGAGCCACCGGTGCTGGCTCCTGCCCTATTCTTTATATTTGAATTTTTATACTGAGTGTGTCTTTTTTAAGCCAGAAAAATAACTGTTTTTTGTTGTTGTTGGTGGTGTGGTGGTTGTGGGGCTTGAACTTTGGGCCTGGGCGCTGTCCCTTCTACAGCTCAAAGCTAACACTCTACCACTTGAGCCTCAGTGGCACTTCTGGTTTTCTGAGTGGTTTATTGGAGATAAGAGTCTCATGGACTTAACTGTGCCGGCTGTATTTGAACCATGATCTTCAGATCTTGCTTCCTGAGTAGCTAGGATTATAGGCATGAGCCACTGGTGCCTGGCAAAAATAATTGTTAATATACTACACAGCTGGGCTGGGAAGGTGGCTCAGTTGGTAGTGCTTGCCTTGCTTGCATGAGGCCCTGGGTTTGATTCCTCAGCACCACACAAACAGAAAAAGCATTTCATGTGTGTATATTGAGGAAATAATCCTTCATTTCCTAAGTGTAGGGGGAAAGTTACCTCTCTTTAGAATCATACTTTGTTTTGGTATAATTAATTTAAAATATTTTTATTTCTGTCTTTTCAGTGGCTCGAACATGTAATTTGATTTTGATTGTTTTGGATGTCCTGAAGCCCTTGGGACATAAGAAAATCATTGAAAATGAGTTGGAAGGCTTTGGCATTCGCTTGAACAGCAAACCTCCCAATATTGGCTTTAAGAAGAAAGACAAAGGAGGCATTAATCTTACAGCCACTGTAAGTGGGGGAGGGAATATGGGGAAGGCCGTGACTCTTCAGCAACCTGTAGGAGAGAAAAAAATGTAAAAAGTTAAGCATAATAATTCAGTGAAGAACTGATTGCTTCCTAGACCAAGGCTCTAAAATTGGATAGATGAGAAGTGATTGTGGAAAGATTCTAAGAGAAGCCAATAAAGCCATCTGCTGGTGGCTCCTGTAATCCTAACTACTCAGGAGGTTGATTTAAGGATCAAGGTTTGAAGCCAGACAGGGCAGGAAAGTCCATGAAACTCTCTCTCTCTCTCTTTTTTTTTTTGGGTGGTGGTGGGGCTTGAACTCTGGGCTTGGGCGCTGTCCTTGCATTCTTCAGCTCAAGGCCAGTACTCTACTGCTTGAGCCACAGCGCCAAGGTTTCTAGTGGTTTATTGGAGATAAGAGTCTCATGGACTGGGGCTGGCTTTGAACCTCAATCCTCAGATCTCAGCCTCCTGAGTAGCTAGGATTACAGGGGTGAGCCACTGGTGCTGGCTCCATGAAACTCTTATCTCCAATTAATCACCCAGAAAGCTGGAAATGGAGCTGTGGCTCAAGTGGTAGAGTGTTAGCCTTGAGCAAAAAAGCCCAGGGACAGCTAGGCACCGGTGGCTCATGCTTGTAATCCTAGCTACTCAGGAGGCTGAGATCTGAGGATCTCGGTTCAAAGCCAGCCCAGGCAGGAAAGTCCATGAGACTCCTTTTTCCAATAAACCACTAGAAAACCAGAAGTGGCACTGTGGCTCAAGTGGTAGAGCGCTAGCCTTGAGCTGAAGTGTGCAGGGACAGCGCCCAGGCCCAGAGTTCAAGCCCCACCACCAAAAAATAAAAAAAAAAGCCCAGGGACAGAGCCTAGTTCCTGAGTTCAATCCCCAGGACTAGTATACAAACACACAAAGAAGCCAAACAGCCTGAGCTGTGGCTCGTGCCTATAATCTTAGCCCCATAACTCACAAAAACAAAGTTAGAGCTGGATGTTTTTCCTCATTTGTGGAAGCTAGAACTAAAGGCTGTGCATTCAGTGGAACTTCCAGATTATATCGGGATCTGATGGGTGGAGGGGTGGAGGGAAAAACAAAGGGTGAATAATTTCAAAATACATTGCAACTATGTGATGATGGTATTGTAGCCAAAGGATTTCACCATGGTAATTCAGACAGGTGTATATTTAAATCAGAATTAATCCTACTGCTTTCTTTTTATTAGTTTTTTAATAAAATCATATATTCTAATGAATACATTAACTGTTCAAGGTGGTTGCATTGTGACATTTCCATACATACTTACTGTCCTTTAATCTCTTCCTTTTAAAAATAATTTCAACAGGTTTCACTGCTCCATTTTCATATATGCAAATTACTTTGGCTATATTCAGCTTCATTCATTCTGTCAGTTCCCCTCTCTAGTTCCACTGTTTATCACCTCTCCCCTGTGTGCCCCCAACCCCCACCCCCAGTTCCTTCCAAACAGGGCCTATTCTACTTTCCTGTCATTATTTTTTTCTGGTTTTGGGGCTTAAACTCAAGGGCTGAACACTGTCCCTCGGCATTTTTTGTTTTTGTTCTTGGAGCTTGAACTTGGGGCCTGGGCCTTGTCCTTGATCTCTTTATGCTGAAGGTTAGCAGTCTACCATTTTAAGCCACAGCTCCACTTTTGGTTTTTGGTGGTTAATAAGAGTCTCATGGACTTTCCTGCCTGGGCTGGCTTTGAATCCTGATCCTCAGATCTTAGCCTCCACAGTAGCTAGGATTACAGGTAGGAGCCACTAGTGCTCAGCTTCCCAGAGCTTTTAAAAGCTCAAGACTAGAACTCCACCACTTGAGCCATGTCTCCATTTCTGGCTTTTGGTGGTTAACTGGAGATCAGAATCTTATGGACTTTCCTTCCCTGGATGTCTTTGAATTGTGATCCACAGATCTCAGCCTCCCGAGTAGTAGGATTATAGGTGTTATCCACTGGCACCTGCCTAATTAGTTCTTTAAAGTCCTTAACTTTGCATTCTGAGATGCTGAATATAAGGCCTCAACTTACAAATTTTAGATTACAGGGGCTGGAGTGGGGGTAGAGTACAGGATACAAGTTCATTAAACCACCTTCCTTTGAGTTCAGAAAGATTTTTGGTTTTTAGTTACTTTCTACTAAAAGTTGTTCATGTAAGATTATTCTCCCTCTTTCTCTCTCCCTCTCTCCCTCCCTCCTCCCTCCCCCCCCCCCCCCCCCCCCCCCCCCCCGGTCCTGAGGCTTGAACTCAGGGCCTGGGCATTGTCCCTGAGCCACTGGTACTAGGCTGGAACAGTGTCTTCAGTAATGAGTTTGCACCTTAGTTAGAATTATCCAGGTCGGTATGTAGTATTCCTGGCTCCCCCTTTGGTTAGTTCTTGCTTTCTGTGTCCCTTAGTGCCCTCAAAGTGAGCTGGATGCTGAAACTGTGAAGAGCATTCTGGCTGAATACAAAATTCACAATGCTGATGTGACTTTGCGGAGCGATGCCACCGCTGATGACCTCATTGATGTGGTAGAAGGAAACAGGTATGAACTAGATGTGCCTGATTTTGAATTTGAAGCCTTATGATAGAAGCATTGCATCATGAATCTGAGAGATGTGAATTCTGACTTCAGTTGTGCTACTATTTTACTTGTATGCATTGATTTCTTCAGCTCCCAGATGAGGAGTTGATCCTTTGATGATTCAGATTCTCCATTGCAGTTACTTGTGAAGTCATCTGTCTTATAAGCTCTTTTAAGTGGTGGTTAAGAATAGGTCATTTTATTCCCAGAATGAACAAAGGGTCGGGTAACATCTGTTCTGTCCAAACCAAAGTTTCATAACTGAAACCATACTTCATGTGACATTGCTACTATTAAAATTTGAATCCTAGGACTGGGAAGGTGGCTCAGCTTGAGTGCTTTCCTTGCATGCATAAGGCTCTGGGTTTGATTCCTCAGCACCACATAAGCAGAAAAAGCTGGAAATGGTGCTGTGGCTCAAAAAAATAACTAAAGCAGGCTATGTGCCAATGACTTATAACTGTAATCCTAGCTGATCAGCAGGTTGAACTCAGTAGCCTACACAGCAAAAGTCCATGAGATTCCATCTTCAAAATGTATACCAAAAGGCTCAGCCTAGAGATGTAGCTCTAATCGTAGACCAGAAGCTGAACATGAAAGCCAAGAAAGACTGAGGTCCTGAGTTCGAATCCCCGTTACAGCTAAATAAAAAAGGTTGGATGCATAATTCAAGTGGGAGAGCACTTGTCTATCAAATTTAAGGTCCTGAGTTTAAACCTCAGCACTGCGAGAAAGAGGAAGAAGGAGGAGGAGGAAGGGGAGGAGAAGAAGAAGGAGAAAACAGATACATGTACATCCTTTCAGAAAAAATGGAGTACTTGCTACCTTCCTGAATAGGCATATATTACTATGCCCTGCTGCTTATACTTAGTTTTTAAAATTTGGAACCTTCGACTTGAGTGGTTAGAACTGTGGGTGTGGCCCCCCAGCACTCAGTATAGTAACATTTTCAAAGCAGCTTTGCTGGGTGTTAGAAGTGTTCACCTATAATCCTAGCTACTTAGGTGGCTGAGATCTTAGGATAACAGTTCCAAGCCAGTCTGGCAGAAAAGTTCATCACTACTACAAAAGCCCGAAGTGGAGCTGTGACTTAAGTGGTAGAGCACTAACTATAAGCAAAAAAGTCAAGGACAGTGCTCGGGTCCTTAGTTCAAGGCCCAGGACTAGCACACACAAAACAAAACAACAAAACCCTCAGCTTTGTATCATATCACTTTCCTAGGAACTAGTTGCATGCTTTGAACTAGCACCTGAATTTAATTTCTCAAATTTATAGTCTTTGAACATCTACTTTGAGGAAGCCTTTAGTTTAGACTTACATTTTCATCTTATTTAGTAGGAAGCCATATTTGTTGTTATTGTTGGGAGCTGCTGCCTCTGATTCAGGATCTGGTTTAAGTAGTAATAGTCACCAACTTGACTCTTGTCAAAAGCTGCAAATCTGGTTTTTCTTTTATAGAGTTTATATCCCTTGTATCTATGTGTTAAATAAGATCGATCAGATCTCCATTGAGGAATTGGATATTATCTACAAGGTACCACACTGTGTACCCATCTCTGCCCATCACCGCTGGAATTTTGATGACCTGTTGGAAAAGATCTGGGATTATTTGAAACTAGTGAGAATGTAAGTCTTTGTGAGTGAGTTAATGTTGCTATAAAAATTAAGTAGCTGGGTGCCAGTGGTTTATGCCTGTAATCCGAGCTACTCAGGAAGCTGAGATCTGAAGAGCACAGTTCAAAGCCAGTCTGGGTAGGAAAGTTCAGTGGCACTGTGGCTCAAGTGGTAGAGTGTTCATCTTGAGCTGAAGAGCTCAGGGACAGCACCTAGGCCCATAGTTAGTAAGCCCCACAACCACCAAAAAAAAAATTAAGTTGTCTTAAAGTGATAGCTTCTGGGCTCATTAACAAAATTTGTCTTTTTTTTTTGTCAGTCATGGGTCTTGAACTCTGGGCCTGGGCGCTGTCCCTGAGCTCTTCAGCTCAATGTAAGAGCGCTACCACATGAGCCACGCACCACTTCTGGTTTTCTGGTGGTTAATTAGAGATAGGAGTCTCATGGACTTTCCTGCCTGGGCTGGCTTTGAACCTTGATTTTCAAATCTCAGCCTCTTGAGTAGCTAGGATTACAGACATGAGCCACCAGTACCCGACAAATTTATCTCTTTTTGAAGATAGAAGTAAATTGGTTTCGGGGCTGGGAAGGTGGCTCAGTGGTAGAGCGCTTGCCTTGCATGCCTGAGACCCTGGGTTTGATTCCTCAGCACCACATAAGCAAAAAGAAAAAAGCCAGAAGTGGCTCTGTGGCTCAAGTGGTAGAGTGCTAGCCTTGAGCTGAAGAGCTGAGGAACAGCGCCCAGGCCCAGAGTTCAGGCCCCACGACTAGACCCAAAAAAAAAAAAAAAGTAAATTGGTTTCTATCATTTATTAGGTCTTTTTCTTTGTGTGTGCCACTTCTGGAGCTTGAACTCATGGTCTAGGTACTGGCTGTTTCAGGTTTTTGCTCTGTTAGTGATAGTTCCGTGTCTGGCTTTTTGGTAGTTAATTGGAGATAAGTCTCACAGACTTCTTTCTGGGTTGGCTTTGGACCATGATCTTCAGATCTCAGCCTCCTGAGTAGATATGATATCAGGCCGGAGACACTGTTACTCAGCCTTGTTTTTTTTTTTTTTGGTCAGTTGTGGAACTTGAGCTCAGTGCCTGGTTGCTGTCCCTGAGGTCTTTTGCTCAAGGTTAGCATTCTAGCACTTTGAGCCACAGTTCCACTTCTGGTTTTCTTGTGATTTATTTGGAGATAAAAATCGAGTGGACTTCCAGGCTGTCATTGAACAACAATCCTCATATCTCAGCCTCCTGAGTAGCTAGGATTATAGTCATGGGCTACTGGATCTGGCTTTTTTTAAAGACAGGTTTCTTTGTACCCAAAGCTTGTCTTGACTTAATATCCTCTTTAGCTTCCTGGGTGCTGAATTATAAGAAAGCTGCTACCATTCCTACATTACTTATATGAAGGGCACTTTTCTCCTCAGGTAAGATATCCTGGTCTGATCACAGGGATAATTGGAGGTTTGGTTAGCATTTACAACATTCATCATTGTATAAGGTGATCATGCCCAGAGCCCGTGGTTCAGGCCTGTAATCCTAGCTACTCAAGAGGCTGAGATCTGAGGATCACTGTTTGAAGCCAGTCTCTAGGCAGGAAAGTTGTAAGACTTTTATCTCCAATTGATCGCAGAAAAAGCTGGAAGTGGCGCTGTGACAAGTGGTAGAGTGAGCCTTAGGCGAAAGGAGCTTGGGGATAGTATCCGGGCCAGAGTTTAAGCCCTAGGACTGGCCAAAAAAAAAATGAATTAATTAAAAAATAAAAATTAAGGGACTGGGAAGGTGGCTCAGTGTTAGAGTGCTTGCCTTGCATGCATGATGCCCTGGGTTTGATTCCTCAGCACCAAATAAACAGAAAAGGCCAGAAATGGTGTTGCGGCTGAAGTGGTAGGGCACTGGCCTTGAGCTGAAGAGATAAGGGACAGCGCTCAGATTCAGATTTCAGACCCCATGACTCAGGGGGAAAAAAAATGAAAAGGTTATGATCTTTGTGTCCTCTCTGTTTTTTAGTTACACTAAACCCAAAGGCCAGTTACCAGATTATACATCTCCAGTGGTTTTGCCTTACTCCAGGACCACAGTGGAGGATTTCTGCATGAAGATTCACAAAAATCTTATCAAGGAATTCAAATAGTAAGTATCCTGGGCTTGTGGTGCTCTTTTTCCTTGTGAG